CTATTTTTCTTAAATGTAGGGAAAACTTTTAGATTAGTGCTTTATTTGTTCCTTTGATGCTTTACAGGAATATGGCATTGCAGAAGTATGTTCCTTCTGGCAATGCACCTTCTGGTAATATGAAACATTTGAGCTTTTCCAGTAAGGTGCCTAAGAAAGCTGAGCTTGATGAGGCAAATAAGAATCATGACATGGATGTGGATGTTGACCTTAGGGAAGTTTATTTCCTCATTATGCACTTTCTTTCTGCTGGGCCATGTCATAAAACTTATTTACAGTTTTGGAATGAGCTTATTGAGCATCAGCTTTTGCCTAGAAGGTATCATGCTTGGTATTCAAGGACTGCAGCACGTAGTGGAGATGAAGATGATGACGGTCTATCATGCCCTTTAAATTACAATATGTTAGTGGAGAGGTATTTTTATTTACCCTTTCTCCTTTATGATTTTTTGTTGATGTTATAATCAATTATTATACAGGTCCTTTATGCACCCTTCTCCTTTATTATGCAGGTATTCTCATATTGAAAAAGATCACTTGGTAAAGCTTTTGAAGCAATTGTTATTAAATACAGCTTCCCCATCACTGGGTATGAATCTTGGAAATGCTCCAAATGCAGCTGATGTACCTACTCTTCTAGGAAGTGGTTCATTTTCACTTCTGAGCTGTACGTGTCCTTTATTTGTACTTCAATCATTATCAACTCTTAAAACTTTGTACTGTAGTGAAAATTCTCATACTGATTTACGAATTTACTGATTATTAATTTTGGAACAAATAAAATTTTCCTTTCTGTGGAGTAATTTGTTTGGTGTTTCTGGTGAAAATTGGGTTTTCCCTGAGGATCTCCAGATGTTCCTGTCTGATAATTTTAGAGATTTTAGCACCAACAGAGATGCTAAAAAGGCTTTGGGGTTTTTCTCTATTTGCAGTTGTTTGGTGTATATGGCTGAAAATAAATGTTAGAAATTTTATTGATCAAGTATTTGCCTTATTCATTTGCGATTGAGTAGTTCAATTAGCTTCTTTGTAGTGTTCTGCTAATGGTCTTTTTTGAAGAGGCAGGAGGAGGTTTCTTTGGTAGATCGGTCTCTAGAGAGATTGACCTGCTGCATTAGATGTGTTGCGTTCCTTTTTTTATTTTTATTTTTTTTAATCTTCTTTGTGGTGTTCTGCCAATAGTCTTTTTATGGGGGTTGTCTTTGGTAGATCTCTAGAGAGATGACTGCTGCATTACATGTGCCATGTTCTTTTTTACCCTGCTCTTTCATTCTTGGTTTAGCTTCTGAGGATTTTTCTTCTTTCATTCGTATCTCTCCTTTCTTAATAAATTATTTGAATATAAAAAAAAGAAGTTTCCCTTATTAGCTGTGCCTCTTATTGAATTAGTTTTTCCTTTTCTTTCTGCATTTATTATATTGCTTTCTACTACAGTTGATAGGGATAAAATGAAAGAAATCAAAAGGCCACCTTCTCATATGCGTTGGCCTCATATGAAAGCCAATCAGGTTCATGGGCTTAATTTGAGGGAACTTGGGGGTGGTTTCCCAAGACACCACCGTGCACCATCTATACGTGCTGCATGCTATGCCATCGCAAAACCTTCAACCATGGTGCAAAAGATGCAAAATATTAAGAGATTAAGAGGACACCGTAATGCTGTCTATTGTGGTAGGTTATTCCATACAGTACTAAGTACTCAAGCTTTTGACATTTTTGTGTAACTTAGGAGTACATGTTGAAAAAAGTTTTGTCCTTGTTTCCTTTTTTCCTTTAGGGGATATTTTGTACGTGAAATGTTTTTATTTTCCTGAAAATCTTAAATCAGAAATTTTGGTTTCCCATGTTTGTGATTTTTTTTTTCTATGGTTGTACTACAGATAATTCAAATTGAACCAAAGAACTCCCAATGAACTGTTTGTCCTTGAAACATGAAAGGAGTTAACAAGAATCAATAATGTAGGGTAAAATATGGTGCGGTTGATAGATGATGATTAATATTTAAAATGTTTTGGTATTTGAAATTAAGTTGTAGCAAACTGGAAGGTATTAGAGAAAACTGAATTGTATTTCATTGACTGAAATAAATTTGATACAGCCTACTGAGTCTCTGTTTACACCCCTATATATTTACAGAGAGTATGAGTGCTTAAGCGCAATTCTGAATTCCAAAGCTCCATTGAATGGAGAAGCAATCTCACAAAGCTTTCTCGTTCAACTGAGAAAAATGTCAATACAAACATGCTAAGAGACTCAGGGAAAGGAAACTACAACTGTCTAACAGAAATTTACAACTAACGTACACAATAACCGAATTGTAAAGTGGCTTAAAGTTATAACTTACTTTAGTTACAAAGCTAACAGATAAAAGGAGTTTTAACTTCACAATTGGTCACTCATGGTGTTAAACATTTTTTAGATCTATTCCATCCTTATTTCTGAATTTTATTTACTTTTATGAAAACCTTTGTAGATTTTCAAAACCCAGCAGTTTTACACCAGCAACAAATTTGTTGTTTTTCTATGCATAGCAAATGTGGATCACGTTTTACCGCAAGTCCATAACATCTTGTTAACAAAAATATCGTTTCTCTTTTACTGTTTCTATTTTGTTTGCTCTTAGAACAATAAACTTCCTAAAACTGACAGGAGAAGGAGATGCTTTTGTTTACTCCTTCCTAATATATGGGATATTTTGAATGAATTCAATTACTGTACCTTCCAATATTGGATAAATTCATGCAGCCCTAGGTCTTACTGTGGGTATTTCATTGAATTCTTCCATCTTTTTGTAGGTTATGCTGCTTCTTGTCTTGAAACTGATTTTTCCTTAACATGTATTCTACAGCTATATTTGATCGATCAGGAAGATATGTGATTACTGGTTCAGATGATCGACTCGTAAAAGTCTGGTCAATGGAAACTGCATATTGTTTGGCCAGTTGCCGGGGGCATGATGTGAGTTTGTTTTTCTACTGTAAATATGTATTTTTTGTTTGTATAGACTGGCATTGCTTTAATTTTTGCTTGCCATTGGATTAACTATGTGCTATATTTTAATAGGGTGATATCACTGACTTGGCTGTGAGTTCAAACAATGCTTTAGTTGCATCCTCATCAAATGACTGTGTCATCCGAGTGGTAAGCTATCATGTTGTTGTTAAGCAAGTTTCTTGATTTTTTATCCCTTCTCCCCAGGTTTTTTTTTGGTACATTATGTTTGACTATATGATTTTCATAGTGGCGCTTGCCAGATGGCTTACCAATATCAGTTTTGCGGGGACATACCGGAGCTGTTACAGCCATAGCATTTAGTCCCAGACCAAATGCTGTATACCAGCTTTTATCGTAAGTCTTCTGGTCAATAGAGAAAGAAAAGGAGTTAATAATATAATCGTATGCCCAGCAATGTGGATTCATGTCATGTAAGCTATAATGCAATATTTTCATTATATTTACAAATATATTTAGTAATATTGAAGATGCCAATTCAATCTTGAGGCATATTTAACCATAATCTAAATATATATGGTTTGTTGAAATAACGTGAGCTTTCTCAGACCAGTAGACAGGCAATTATGCGAACTATATATCACAATCACCCTGGTATTTTGAATGCAGTGAAGTTTGTTACTGTCTCTTTCTATTTGTTTCTATCAAATCCTTGATGATCTCTCTGATTTTTCCTTTTACTTTAGGTCTTAATAATTGTTTATGAAATATTAAGGGGCTACATTTAGTGTCAATCATGGTTGTCAATCTTTAGTGATAACTCGTAAAATCGTACGAGTTTACGAGATTAGGACAACTTACCTGTATAACTCGGGAGTAAACTCGTTTTTGAGTAATCTTGGTGATCTCGTGTAATCTCGTGTAATATCGCGAGATCAATCTCGAGTTTAACAGATCACATTTTTTTTTTGTTCTCCACAAAATGTTCGTTTTGGGTTAGGGCTGAAATGAGACTTTCATTTCACTCTCCCCTGTTAGCAAAGATCTCCTCCGCAACTCCGCTGTGACGCTGTCTTCTCCCCGACAAAGGCAAACCGCCGTGCGACCCGTGCGTTCTCCTCCGGTGAAGGTGCAAACCACTTCGCCTCCGTCGTTCTCTTCCGCGAATGACCACTCTCCTTCGGTGAAGGCGCGAACCACTTCGCCTTTGTCGTTCTCCTTTGCGAATGACCACTCTCCTTTGCGTGAATCTCTTTTCCTTTGTGCACGAACCACCATTCTCCTCCGTGAGCCTGTCTTCTCCTCCGCGAGTCGCGCGGCTTCACGAGTCTGCTTCTTCGCGACTCTGCTTCTCTGCGAGTTTGTTAAGAACTTTAGCATTTTATTATTAATGTAATTTCTATTTTACTCTTTAATATGGAGTTAAAATGTTCAATTATTATGTTATTTTTACGATACGAGTTTACGGAGCCTCCATGAGATTACGTAAACTCTCGAGATTGACAACCTTGGTGTAAATTTACCTGTTACTTTGATTAGTTTTTGAGAGATCATCCATGGTAATTGGAATGGTTCATCTATTGATTAAAATGATGCTTTAATTTCTCTTAAAGATGCCTTGAACTGATGCTTTGATTTCTCTTAAAGATGCCTTTAACTGATGCTATTTTGTGTGATTATGACACTGAAAATTTCTTTCACCTTCAGGTCACATGTTTTTGTGTGCATTAACTTTCTGGCATGATTTATGTGGATGATCGTCACCATTGGGCATTCCAGGCTTCTGTTATAAATTAACTTGGCCATGTTTTGTTTACTTTGCAGTTCCTCTGATGATGGAACTTGTAGGATATGGGATGCAAGGTATACCCAGTCAAGTCCAAGATTATATGTTCCAAGACCTCCTGATTCAGTAATTGGTTAGTCGATTATTTTGTGAACTATGATTGATTGATTTATTGGTGAAAAGAACTAATTTGGAATACCTTATTGGCTTTAGGGAAGAGCAGTGGCCCATCTTCAAGTACTTTACCACAGAGCCATCAGATTTTTTGCTGTGCATTTAATGCTAATGGAACTGTCTTTGTAACTGGTAGCTCTGACAATCTTGCTAGGGTATGTATGTGTGTGTGTGTGTTTTTAAGTGCTTACCTATAGTTTGGAGAGATGCATAAATAACTCTGTAATGCGAGGGTAAATGAAGGTTTTATTTTCTTTGTGGAAAATAATCATCTGTTTTTGCATTTTTGTTCTTTCCCTTCCTGCTCTTCTGGTGAGCTTCTAAATTGTGACTGTTTGAGGAAAAAATAACCTCTCAAAGAGGCAGAATATAGTTCTTCTATAAATAGAAGCCTTTTTTCATATCCCCATTCAAACTTTCTAAATCAACATCACAGTGCTAGTTGATCCCTGATCCCACTTTATCAATTCTTTGTTGATGCCTGTCTATTAGTGATGACCTTCTTGGCTTAAACCGTTTTCTGACTGCCTAGACATGGTCACTGGCCATTTTCATTAGGCTGTCAAATGCTAATAATACGCATCCAGTTACTCTGAAAATAGTTTGTGAGGTGTTTGATCCTTTATGGTTTATATGATTATCCATCTGTAATCTGACATATTTCTTACATCTAAATGCATCTTTGGTGAGTTTAGAATGATGAAAACCATAAAGAGCTCTAAATTTGTCCAAATAGATATCCATCTTCACTATTTCTTAAGCTAACTTAAAATGTTTTGCAGGTGTGGAATGCTTGTAAACTTAGTATGGATGACACTGACCAACCAAATCATGAGATAGATGTGCTCTCTGGGCATGAAAATGATGTGAATTATGTGCAATTCAGGTTAGTTTGTTTCAGTATGTTGTGATCTTTGATAATGAAATTTTGCATGCTGATGTCTGTTACTCCTTATTTTGCAGTGGATGTGCAGTAGCATCTCGATTTTCCACAGCAGAAACTTGGAAGGAGGAAAATATTCCCAAATTTAAAAATTCCTGGTGAGTTTGTGTGTCTCTACTCTCTGTGTTTAAGAATTCAAAGTAACTTCTTAAATGATCTTACTCCTAGCACGCTCCTCTCCTTTGCTTCTCAGAACAAGAAATGTCATATTCCCATTTCTCTAAGCTTCTGCTATGATCTATTATCTAAATGGCTATATTTTATCCCAGGTTGAATCATGACAACATTGTTACCTGCTCTCGTGATGGGAGTGCTATTATATGGATTCCCAAATCACGCAGGTCACATGTAAGGCTTCATCAAATATAATTTTCTTCTACAAATGTTATCTCTCTTTCTCTTTTAACATAACTTGAAAATTGTTGGCCAACATTGGTATTCAAATTGCAAAAGTTAATGGTTATTGGATAATGAGTGCTACTTTATATTTCAATTTGTTAATTTTATTTCATTTAGGGAAAAAGTGGTCGCTGGACACGGGCATATCATCTGAGAGTTCCACCTCCACCTATGCCTCCTCAACCTCAGAGAGGTGGTCCTCGTCAGAGAATTCTGCCAACTCCACGTGGTGTAAATATGATTGTTTGGAGCCTTGACAACCGCTTTGTCCTCGCAGCTATTATGGGTAAGTTGGTTGTTTCCCATTCTTGCTATCATGTTTCCAATTTTATTTGTTTATTTCTTTTCCTGTGCTTTCTTTATTTCTTACTACCATTCTTTCTTCCAACCATTTCTGATTTTTGATTTCTATATACAATTTACTGTAGGTAATATTATTTTGTTTATTAGTAATTGTTCAATTAAAATAGGAAAAAAAAACTTAAGTTCGGCACTAGTGATAAGTGATTTTATAACTTGCTCCATTGTATCTAGCTATCTATCTGGTTTTTGTGTTTGGCAATTTAGCACAGAAATTCTTGCTAGATTTAATGAATTATAATGATTCATCAATCGACGTAGTTTAGGAAAGTAACTTTTAAGTTAAAGCTAAAAATAAGAACTTTAAAAAAGTAGAAATTGTTTGTTAAATTTTATTTTTTTTAGCTTAAAATTTCCTTTAAAACTATAAATTATTTGGTTTTTTTTTTCAAAAAAATTCAAATTTACATAAAATTAGTCATCTCATCTAATGAAAAAGTATATTTATCAAACAAAAAATATTGTAAAATTATTTTTAATAATAATAAAGCAAATAAAAATATTAAAGAACAAATATTGAAAGTTTAATTTTTTAAAATGCAAAAAATACTTAATTGATAAAATTTTATTTTAACAATTATTTGCAAATAATATATATAATATCAATTACGGAAATTTAAATTTAAATTATAAATAGTAAAATATTTAATTCATTATATATTGTTCAATATTATTTTTGAAGAAATAAAAATTATTTAGGAAAAATTTAATAATATTGAATTATATTAAAAATATTCAAAAAGTATTATATATGTCAAAATATTTAATAAAATAATAAGCACTTCACGCAATTCTATATAACATATCATTTTTTTAAAAGTTCTAATTAGAAATAAAAAGTGAAAAATAGTTTTAAAAAAAATAAATCTTGCAAGAGAAAAATAGCTAAGTTTTCAGAGAGCTAGTGTTTCAACAAAACAAATTAGAGAGCAAGAGTTTTTAGACCCACAGAAAAATAAAATAAAATAAAATAAAATATATTCAAATAGAAACTGGTGAGACTCGAAGTGAGGTTCTAACAAAAGAGTTCTGCTTAAACTACACTTAAGTTCCCTGAGTTAGTTTTTTCAAAAGCTATTTATTTATTAAGGGCTATTATACAGACTAGTATTTTAACATGTATATTTTACAGGCTAAATGTTTATTGTATATATATAACTAAATTTTATAATAAATTATATATACAAATAAATACAATATTTTAATATATAGTTTATATTTTAAATTTGTATAAATAGATATTTTTAAACATATAAATTATATTTTCAATTTAAAATAAATAATTTATATTGCGGCACAAGATTACTTTTATTTATTGACAATTTATTTTAAAATATTAAATTTTAATTCATAAATAAATATGAAAAATAAAAAATTGAATTAGATAATAAGTTAAAAAAATCTCTAAAAGTGCTTCTGTTAGAGAATAGCTCCTAAAAATGCTCTCGCACACAATAGCCGTTCATGTTTAATATATAGGTGTTGAAATGTTTAGTCTATCTTTTAAGCTGGGCCAAATGGACTCAGTCAACAAAAGAAGATTTGAGGGCTTCTGTCACCTTGAGCAATGAATGCATCATCTTAAAATCATAGAGAACTATTGTTAAGTCTAGATTCTTATTTATACCTTCCAAATACTCTTTCTAAGGCAATTAGCTATTTTGACAGTTTTAGTTAGTCAATTCAATATTATTTTTTATATGCCTTTATGCTTGCAATATATGAAACCAATATCTGAAAACACTTTACAATTTCTTAGGGTGTGCTTGGTTTGAAAAAATGTTTTCTGTTTTTATTTTGTATTTTCATTAGAAAATTACAAAAGTATCCCATTGTTTTTTATATTTATTTTCTATATTTAAATATCTGAAGTTTAGGGAAAACATTTTTTTTTCACCCTTTTTGTACTAATATTTTAAAACATGAAAGTGAAAATAATGAGGCTCTTTTGTAATTAGTAATAGAGACAGGTGATGAAAACTTAAAAATGTTTGCTTTACTAAAGAGACCTTTAATTATTCATGCATTGCATTTGTCATCATGCCACTATCGAGCATGTGTCATGATAATGTAACAACCATTTTAATTTTCATAATTTTGACAGTAATAGATTATTATGTCTAATTGCAAGTTATTCTTGCAGATTGCCGAATTTGTGTTTGGAATGCTTCTGATGGCAGCTTAGTACACTCATTGACTGGTCATACTGAATCTGTAAGTGTTTATTTATTGGTTTTGGTTTATCTTCCTACTTCGTTACCATTGTTACTGTCTTTTGTAAATGTAATGCCGGACATATGTTTCTGAGGCTTTTTATGATGGTATTTAACTCACAAGCATGACATCTGATTCTGAGCATTGTGTTTCTTTGTTTTTGTTTCAAACATCAGTTAGGATTTTCAGTTTAATTTAATTAATGTTTCAAAGAGTTGGTCTTTTCATTTATGATTTTACTTATGTGTTTTGTAGAGTTCAGATACAAAAGAAACTTCTTTTGCACTGTGAGGATGCATGGCACCTCTGCAAAAGGCATATTGACATATTTTATGAACTTTAGGTTTATCCAGCCTTCTAATGCCAAGTTTTAGGTATTCATTTTACAGGCTTTTGGAAGGTTGAAATCAAAGTAAGGTCTGTTGGAACATATAGAAAATATCTTAAAGCTTAATTATCTTTTAAAATATTTTAGAGTATGGTTAGATGATCTCTTAAGAGCAGTTTTGAGATTTCATTATATTTCCTAATCGATTTCTTTATTTGATTGGCATTAGAAGTCTGGTATTAGTGTAAATAAGGGTTAATGATTTCTTCTTTTGTATCATATCATTAATGGGAATATTATCTAGAGCCTTTATGTTCTCTTTATATCCCTCTCTATGGCTTTGCCTAAATTATATGATCTCAACATGGTATTAGAGCAGTACCATGATACCATTCTCTATAACCTGCCTTGTAATTATCTCAGTGTTGAGTTCCCTAAAATTTGGAAGTCTATTCTTTGAAATATTTTGTCTCATCCAGCCTTAATTTCTAGCAACAGTCTTTTGTCATACAATGTGTATTTTTCCAGCCACCATCTGTCTCGTTTGACTCACTAACCTCTAGTCTCTAGATCTTGCCTCACCCCTTTTTCTCTTCCATGATTGTGAGTCACATCTTCCTTTGTCTGCACAGCTTTTGTCACTAGCTCTGGCATGTCCAGAATGATTAAAGCTCTAACGAGCCACTCAAGGGAATCTGACCAGCCTTGCTCTTTTATATGCCTGAGAGCATGTCAAGATACATCACCAGCTGCTGTAACCACCATTTACCTTGTTGCATCATTTCTATTGGAGTATATTTGAGTATACTTACTGGGTTGCATTTCATTTTGTCCTTTCCTATGTAGGCGATGGCTGTCACCTCTAACCAACTCTAAATTAGTTAGAGCAGTTACAGTTGGTGTAGTTAGGCTTTTCTATTTACTTGAAAGGCTATATATAACTGTTTTCACTTTCTGTTGTAATTGCCAATTCATAGATTTCATTTTCATCAATACAAATGATTTTCCAGCCCTGCATCCATCTCTTCTGCTTGCCACATTCATGTGATTGCTTGGCTTCCTTAGGCTGCTTTCCAGTGTACTCTTCCTGACTTGCATCATGTTTGAGTTGTTTGGGAAGTTTCTTGGCAATTGGCATTCTTTATGAATCATGATGGCTTTCTCTTGTTTTTTGTGCTATTTGGCTTGTTTTTCAGTGTTTTCTCTTTTAGTTAGACTTTGACTTCTTTTGGTGCCAATCTGCCTTGTGTTGTGTAATGACTGGCATTGTGGTTTGAATTGTTTCTCATTGTTTGGCTGCTGGTGTTTTTCAACTGTCATTCTGTTCTCTTCCCATCCATGATCATTCTGGTGACTTTTTTTAATTATTGTTAACAATGGATTTGTTAAGAAAGAAGAGAAGGGTACAGAAAATGATAAGAATAGTCAATGGTATTCTGTTGACTTCTTTCCCAATGGTGAATCATAGAAGTGGGGATTTCTTTTCTCACCAACAACCATTCAACTAGTACTTCTTTCCTCCTGGGTGAATCATACTGGTGGTGTTTTTTCTTTCATCAGCGCTCATTTTGATGGAAATCTATGTTGACAATCTTTGGAAACTGATCTATAGGGAATTGATGCATTTAAAGCTTAGGTTCATGGAGTTTTCAGATTCATGCATAGTGCCAATATTCAATTAATTCAGAAATGTAACTTAGGGCGTTGCTGTTATATTTATGCTTCTTGTAAATCTAACATGTAATTAATTCAGAAATGTGCACGTATATGCAACCAGCTGAGTGCTTTGACTCAAGCATTGCACAAATTTGAGTCCCAATATTCAATTGCAATGATTCACACTTGCCTATTAGAGTAGAGTAAAACTCTACTCTAATATAGCCTCATTCTATTTCTGAGTTTAGTTAGGTTTTTTCTTGGAGTTTAAAGTGTGTAATCAGTAATTGTATATCAGAATTATGATTACTTTTCATTAATCTTTCATGACTGATTTACATTTATATGATTGTATACAAGGTTGTTAGACAAGAAGAAACCAAACTGATGGTTACATCATAATACAGCTGTCATTACAAAACTATAACAGAAACCTTAATTAACTTGAACACTCTAGAATACGAAGAGTTACACTTATGCTAGTATGCTACTAATAGGGTCAAGATACTCTGTACCTCTATATTTGTTTGTACCTCTATATTTGTTTAAAGGTGTTTAAGAATTACTAATGTTATTGAATCAACTGGTGTTGTGTCTAGTTCTCAAATTTTAAGGTTTCGGGTTTGAGTCTTAAGTTTGTAAGAATAATTAATTTTTAACTTTATTTTTTATTATATAAAATTTTAAGGGTAAAACAGTTCAAAAATTATGTACACAAAAACAGGAAATCGCTTTTATATATAAGTATAAATATATCATTTCTTAGCTCTTACTGTTTCAAGCTTCTGAATGCTTATCATGGAGAAGTTAGTTCTTGCTTTGTATATTTGTATGCCAGGAAAATTCCACTTAGCTTTTCTTCCAGTGAAGTCTCTTCTTTGGTCATGTAATATTTTAAGTTAACTATCCCTTTAGGGAGTGTTTGGTATATGGAAATTTTTTACTTTCTTGGGAATCTGACTTTGGGTTTGTTTTCCCGCAATTGGTTTATTATTTAAAAAATAACATTTTTAGGAGGTTTTTGCATAGGTTTCCCATGAAAATATTCCTATTGGGGAGGTGAGAAACTAACTTTCTTGAAGTAAAAATAAAATTTTAATGCAGTAAAAATATCATGTTATGTTTATTTACTTATTTAATGCAGTAAAAATCCTTGATTCTTAGGTAACAATTAAAAACATTCTTAGGAATATTTATGACCCAACCAAATAGATTTTATGATTCCTAGGAATTCTGATTCTCAGGAATCATGATTCCTGGGCATGAAAAAATTTGCCATGTATCAAACGCCCACTTAGGCTGATGATTATTCTCTCTGTCTTGTTGAGCTATCTTTTTAGCAATTCATCTCAGGTAACATTTAAAAATCCTTGATTCTCAGGTAACATTTAAAAACATTCCTAGAAACATTTATGACCAACTAAACAGATTTTTATGATTCCTAGGAATTGTGATTCCCGGGAATTATGATTCCTCACCGTGAAAATTTGCCATGTACCAAACGTCCCCTTAGGCTGATGATTATTCTCTCTGTCTTGTTGAGCTATCTTTTTAGCAGTTCATCTCTCCAATAGTCCAATGTCTCCAGCATCCCTGATTGTTTTTCATCTTTTTTTTATGCAGCCCAGTTTATTTGGTTGTTATTTTTTGGTTTTAAGTGTTCATTTATAAAATTATGCACAAAAGAATTTGATGCTGCTTTGACATCTATCTATTTGTTTCATTGATTAAAAAAGTGGAGAACACTTAACCTGAAAGTCTAAGCAATTAAGATTGAAGATGTTAACAATGGTTCATTAGACATACTTCCTTACTTGAAAACTCATTGGGCTTGAAATAATGGAAGTACACTGAAGCTGTATACTATTTCATTGAGAAATTTCAGTTATTAGATCAAGGGTAGCATGGATTAAACATTTAACACACGGCTGACTAGTTTTATTTTTTTTATTATTATTGAAAAAAAGTTGTTGATGTTTAAGTTTATAATATTAAGAGAAAGATTTTAATAGCTCTGACTTCTGAAAGTCATTTTCTTTCAAGGAGGAATTTGATCAAACTGAGATCTTCTAAACATTAAGTTGCATTGTCTGCCTTTGATTAGCCCTTGCATACTTGTTCACTTCTCTGTTGCTCAGTTTACTACTTTTCTCTTTGATGATATGCTATTTTTTTTCTTCTCTTGGTCCTATGACAATTGATGAAGTAAAAAAACTTAAATTTTGGATGCTTAATTTTTCTTGGGTATATCGGTCTTAAGTTGCTTTCTATCTTTGCATTTTAGACATATGTTCTGGATGTTCATCCTTTCAATCCCCGGATAGCTATGAGTGCTGGATATGATGGAAGAACTATTGTATGGGATGTGAGTCACCAGTTACTTTTATCTCACTGCTCTGTAGGCTTTCCTCTATATTTTAAATAACTTTCATATTTTATTCTAGATATGGGAAGGCATGCCTATCCGGATATATGAGATATCACGCTTCAAGTTGGTGGATGGAAAGTTTTCTCCGTAAGTATACAATGAGAGAACTAGCTCAGAACTTTATTTTGTATCAAATGTTTTTGGATATTTTGTTGTTTTTCTTTCTCAAAGCTATTCTCATATCATAATCATTTACAGTTGTTATTTTCAGATACTCGTAGTCAGTTTTGTACTCTCTTTAATTGTTTGCAACATACTTTTATTATTTGACTTTCAAAATTATTTATAATCCCTCATAATATTAAATTTAGAATCAGTTAAGTATTTTGCTGAGGATGTGGCTTTTAAGTGATCCTTTTAGGATCCACTCTTTTGATGCATATTTATTATTTGTTAATTTAAAATTTTTGTCCCAATACTTTATATCATTTTCTTACTATCACTCCGTGACTAGGATAAAGTTGTCGTGTTAAATTTCAAATGCCTTTGCTTCTTAAATCAGTGCCATGTTGAAATTGAATCCATTGTTGTACACAATACAGATTGCGATATGATGCTGGAATCACGGTAACATTGAATGCTGTTTTCTTGTAAAGTTAAATAACGTTGACTGATGATGACATCATGATTTGTTGGAGTTTGTTACAGTGGACCTTTTATAGCCTTGATTTATTTATTGGTCTGTGGAGTTTAATAAATTCATTGTATACTGTCTAAATCAGTATGCTTTTTTGTTTTGTTGAAATATATTTTATGACATAGGGATGGGACATCAATTATACTTTCAGATGATGTTGGTCAACTATATATATTAAGCACAGGTCAAGGTGAGTCCCAAAAAGATGCCAAATATGATCAGGTACATACATTATCATCCTATTTTAATTTTCTCTTTCCTTTGCTACTGATTTGGTGCTAATGTCGATTGCAAATATTTGCAGTTCTTTCTTGGTGATTATCGACCTCTGATTCAAGATACTCATGGTAATGTACTAGATCAGGTTAGTTGATCACTTGCTTGCTACTATTTCTTTTCATTTATGAAAATGTTAGAACCAAGGAAGTACGGTTACAAATGGGTTATGGATACAATATTATGATGACACTGACATAATAATACGGTGAATTTTAAAAATGTTAGAACACAACACAACTATAATCTAATATATTAAATTAAAATAAAATTAGCATAAAATAAAAAGTTTAAATCACGAGATAATTCATGCTCTAAAAATAAGCATAAGTCATTATAAACATGAAATACAAAAGCTATCTAATTATTGTGGTATTCTGATCAGTGTTGGTATAGAAGTTTAAAAAATTATAAAAATGCAATAAAAAAAGTGCTTGTAAGTGTCCATGTAATGGATATGTATCTTACACGGGTACAACATGACACAACTACTATTTGGAAGAGTTCATACTTAGGTTAAAACATCTTTTTAGCTTGACTGTGCTACTATGTACCGATTTATCATTTGGGTTAGGCTGGAGTGGGTGGGGTGCTTTGAGGCTTTTTAATTTTAATATTTTTCTATTGTTTTTACCTCGAGTGAAATATTATGTACCCAAAAGTCCAAATACTACTTTGTTAAAGTGTATTAAGTTTCAAATGAAAGTGAGAAATTGACAAAACTTCTTTATTGATATTTTCTGTATATTCATGAATGAATACAACAGGCTATATATAGCCTTGAGCATCTAACAGAAACCTAACATGCTGAGTCATGTCAGCAAAGCAGAATTCAGAGGTAGTTGTAACAACAACTTTTAAAAATTTAATATTATATTTTAATAGCCCCCCTCAAACTCAGGGTGGTTGTGGAGACTCAAGTGCCCTGAGTTTGTCCGGTAATTCACTGAAGTGAGCAGCAGAAGGAGGTTTCTTGAGAGTCAGCTATTTGATCAACACCGGGAATGTAATGAACATGTAGAGCTTTGGAGACGACTTTTTTGAGATGGGATCAAGCTCAAGATGTTTCGTCCTGGTTTGAAGTATGGGATTATGAGAGAGCGCAATAGTGCTGAGATTGTCACAGTATATTATTGGAGAAGTATGAGGAATACAAAATTATGCGAGTAAGGATTGAAGCCCCAACTTTTGTATTTAGCCTCAATGGTTGATCGAGCAACTAGAGGTTGTTTCTTGGACCACCACGAAACCACATCAGGGCCAAGGAAAATACAATACCCAGAGGTGGACCTTTGATCATCTGGATTCATTGCCCAGTCCGCATCATAGTACTCTCGAATAGAAATAGGACTATTAACAGAAGCAGGTTGGAGAGAAAGTCCACAGGTGATAGAACCCTTTAGATAATGCAAAATGCGTTTGACCCATAGTTTTAAAAACCGGACCGGTCATCGAACCGGTTAAGGTACTGGGTCAGTGGGTCAAAGGTTGAACCGGTGGGTCACTAGTTGAACCGCATGACTCGGTTTTTATTTATTTTTATTAAAAAAATATTCATATTAAATATATTTTATACTTATAAATTTTAATAAATTTATATCTTATTTTAAATTTCAATTTTTCTATCTTATTTAAAATTATTTTTATTTTTATTTTGTAAAAAATATATAAAAAATTACATATTAAACTGTATATTAATACAAATTAAAAATATAAATAATATGTACATATATAATATGCTTGCAATTGATATCACAAAATAATATATGTAATATTTACATATATATTATATTATTAAATATATAATATAAAATTAATAATATACTATAAAAGTTATTTAAGTTGTATATTATATAAACAAATACATTAGAACAAGTAGTTATTGTTATATTTAATAAGAATCTTTGTTCTTCTATTAAAAGATTCAATTTTCATTATTATTTTTTTGGTTTATGGTCCCTTAAAAAAAAGTGGTTGAACCGGTTTGACCCACCGGTTCACCGGTTGAACCGGAAAATTGACCGGTTCAATCCGGTTTGAAACGGGTCGACTGCATAACCGATCCAACTTAAGGTTCGGACCGACTGGACCACCGGTTCCCGGTCCAACCGGTCTGACCGGCCGGTTCGGTCCGGTTTTTTAAACACTGGTTTGACAGCCTGCAAGGGTTTGCCATGAATTGGAAAACTTTGTTGACACTAAAGGCAATTTCAGGTAGAGTTAGCGTAAGATATTGTAGAGCACCCACTATAGATTGATAATGATGCGAATTAAATACAGTAGCAGTCCCAACTTTAGTCAATTTGGTACTGCTAGCCATAGGAGTTGAGATACCTTTTGCTTCAAGCATTTTCACTTGATCAAGAAGATCACAAAGATACTTGGATTGAGTCTGCAAAATAGAACCCTCACTTTACTTCAACTCCCAAAAAATAGTCAAGCAATCCAAGCTGTTTTAAAGCAAACTGTATATTAGGATTTTTAATGAGATCATCAACAAAGGTGGAAGAGGATCCAGTGATAAGAATCATCAACATATACTAAAAATATATGCAACTAGAACCAGTTGAATACACAGATAGGGAGGAATCACAATGGCTAGCAACAAATCCGAGCTAGAGGAAAGTCGTTGTAAGTCTGTCATACCAGGCTCTAGGGGCTTGCTTGAGCCCATAGAGTGCTTTGTGAAGCCGACAAACTAGAGTTTTGTCACTGGATTCAAATCCTGGGGGTTGTGTCATATACATTTTGAGGATGTCCATTGAGAAACGCATTGTTTACGTCAATTTGCTGAATGGACCATCTTCAAGTTAAAGCCAAAGTTAGTATGACCTGTAAAGTTACAAGTTTAACCACCAGAGAGAATGTTTCAATGTAATTGGAGCCAGGTTGTTGATGAAGCCCTTTGGCCACAAGACGCGCTTTGTTCTTGTTAATAGTACCACTAGGGTTCTCTTTGACGTGAAAGACCCACTTGCAACCAATAGTTGTGCAGTTAGGAGGCAAAGGAACTAGTGACCAAGTTTGATTTGTCAGAAGGGCTGTATATTCATCCTCCATTGCAGTTGACCAATATGGGTGGGCAAGAGCTTGCTTTTAATTGATGTTGGTTCAACGTGAGCTATAAGAATGCAAGGCTAGATATATCTCGAGCTGTGTCAGATTGTATAGGACTAGGTACAGCAGTTGGCTCATTGGAAAGATCATTTGGGTTTGTTGATGAAGTGGGAGTGGATTGGGTTTGTTGAGGGGGGTAAGATATGCAGAGGATTATGTACAACAGAACAGATGTTGATTTGGAGTCGGTAATATTTGTGGCAGAAAAAACTGTAGGGGAACCCGGACTCATTAAATAATACATCTTTGGATATGTATATACGATCATTAGGAGCAAGGCACTTGTAGCCTTTGTGCCATGGTGATTGACCAAGGAGTACACATTCTTGCGAGTGGAACTGTAGTTTGTGCAGGTTATATGGATATAAAGAGGGAAGGCATGCACAGCCAAATACTCTTAATGACTTGTAGTCTGGTGAATCTTGATAAACTATCATATGTGGTGACATGACAGGCCATTGGGATGACCCACGGTGGGTAATTTGTTGATGATCTGTATGCAGTAGTAAAACTGTGATCTCAAAAGTGAAGTGGGATAGAAACATGAGACAAAAGGGTTAATTCCATTTCAACAATCTGACAATGTTTCTGTTCTGCAATGCCATTTTAGTGAGAGGATGAAATTCTCCACCCCAATTTGTTTGAAATGCTTTAGGACTTGTAGAGAATTGAGTGGCCACAAGTTTCATAAAAAGCTAAACCGCGGAGAATGCATTTGATTTTTTCATGAGAAAGTAAATCTAAGTGAACCTTGTGTATGCATCTACAAGGGAGATGTAGTAGTAATGACCACTCAAAGAGGGTAAAGGTGCTGGTACCTATAGGTTGCTAAACACAAGCTCAACCGGAGCATTATAAACAGTTAAAGATAAAGGGGTGGGTAAGCGATGTGACTTGCCTAAGCAACAAGTATTGCAAAATTCAGAGACTGTTCTATTAACAAATGGAATATTACACAGATGTAAAACAGTTTTAACAGCAGCAGAGTTAACATGCCCTAAATAACAATACCAGAGTACGCACTAGTATATACAACATTAGAAACAACAGAATTATGAATAACATGTAAATTGTAAGCAGCAAAACATTGATCAGTCTTGGCAATCTTGGATCGAGGAAAACAGTAAAGGCCATCACTCCCCATCATTCCTTTAAGAAAAGCCTGATTTGACAAAGCAATTAGTTGGATGAAACTCAAAATAGACTCCATTATCTTTTGCCAACTTAGATACAGAAGCTAATTGCATGCAATGTCGAATCAATAACAGATTGTTAAGTGCAAGTGTTATGACAGGATTAAAGGGGGAAGAGAATTTAGATGAGTCAATAAAGGAAATGGGCAGAAGCTAATTGCATGTAATATCGAATCAATAACAGATTGTTAAGTGCAAGTATTATGACAGCATCAAAGGGGGAAGAGAATTTAGATGAGCCAATAAAGGAAATGGACAGACCTTGACCATTACCCATGAGAACCTGATCCGAGCCACTGAATGGAGTGCTATGAGTTAGGTTCTGAGGATCAGAAGTGATGAGATGGGAGGCTTTAGAGTTAGGATACTGGGATTGAGAATCTTGTTTATTTGGTGCTTGTAAAAAATGAGCAGGTTGAGAGTTAGTGACATATGCAACATGTTGACCACACTGAGAGTTAGGGTTTTAATGCCAAGTGTTCTGACGATTATTTTAAGCAAGAATGAAATTTGAATCAAAGCAATTCTAGCAATTGAACGCATCATGACCATACTTGCCACATTGTTGACAGGTAGGATGATTTCCACCATCGTTGTAGTGACCTTGACCACGATTTCTACTATAGTGACGACCATGTCCATGTCCACCACCATATCCAAAACATTGCGAGTTTAAATTCTGAGATCCTCCATTAACCTGTTCATTGGAGACTCTGACTTGTGACTGAGATGCAAAGGCTTGAGCAACATTTGCAGTAACTGATGTAGGTGTGAGTTCTTCAAAACTTATCGAACTAAGCTTCTTGCACTAGCAGAAGCGATTCAACAACTTCAATAGTAGGAGGATCAGATCTTCCATGGATTATCATGACAAAAGAATTGTATTCCTCTGGAAGGCCAACAAGAATAGCACCAAGATGTTCCTCATAGGAAACAAGATCCTCAACAAGAAGAGAATCTACTAGAGCCTTGATACGAAACAAATATTCAAAAATTGACCGGTCCAATTTCTTGACTGCAAAGTTCAGTTCACAACTGCCAAACTTTTGCATGAAGATTCTTGTGAAAGTAATTGTGAACTTTTTCCCCTAACTCATAGGAATGATGACATCCAATGACTTGTGTGAGTATGGATTCAGAAAAGGATGAAAGAAGGCAAGAAAACAACATCTGATCTTGTGTTTCCTAGCACTGATAAGCTTCAGAGATCAATCCAAGCTCGCAATCTTTTTCAGACTCAACGTGAAGGAATCTGAGGACTAACAACAAGTTGATGAAGATGATGTAATGATTTGATAACAGCTTCAACTTGCTGTTTCCATAGAAGAAAATTCTTGTTGTTGAGCTTGACAGAGATTGCGTGAGTATAGTGATTCAGAGCATGCATGGAGGAATTTCCATTGTTGGTGAGAAGCAAAGAGGATTGTGCCATCAAATGAACACAGGCCCAAGGAAGAAAAAAAAAGTTCTACGATACCATATTAAGTTTCATATAAAAGAGAGAAATTGACAGAACTTCTTTATTGATATTTTCTTTATATTCATGAATGAATACAACAGGCTATATATAACATTGAGCATCTAACAGAAGCCTAACAAGCTGAGCCACTTCAGCAAAACAGAATTCAGAAGTAGTTGTAACTACATAACAGCTTATACAGATTTAACACTATATTCTAATAAAGTTTAGCGAAGTATTTAATTTTCACACTGATGCATTCTGGGATGGACCATTCACCGGCTTTGCTCATGATTTTTATATAGGCATACATGTGAAGTGATTTTGATGGGTGAACCATGTTTAAAAATTAAAATGGCTTTTGTTGATACTGTGAGTCTGGTTTTGAATGCATGTTTTATCTATTATCATATAACATGTGTTTCCTAATTTTAAATAATATTAAAATTTGTATCAGGAAACTCAAATTGTTCCATATCGGCGGAACCTGCAAGATTTGCTTTGTGATTCAGGTTATTTGTTTTCTTGGATCTGTTCTTTATGCGTTATCTATTTCTTATGACTTATGTTTCTTTATCCACTCCTGTATTCTTATAAGTTGTTGGTTGTATGCTCTGCTGAATTTCCAGCAATGATACCATACCCAGAACCTTATCAGAGTGAATTTCAGCAAAGAAGATTAGGAGCTTTAGGCCTTGAATGGCGCCCTTCTTCACTAAAGCTTGCTGTGGGTCCTGATTTCAGTCTGGACCCAGATTATCATATGCTTCCATTGGCAGACTTGGATTTGCTTACAGAACCACTGCCTGAGTTCATAGATGCTATGGAATGGGAACCTGAAGTTGAAGTGTTTAGTGATGATACAGATTCAGAATATAATGTCACTGAAGATTTCTCTTCTAGGGGTGAGAAAGGATGTTCAAGCTCCAATGCCTCTGGTGATTCAGGGTGTAGCACAGATAACAGTGACGGGGAGGAGACTCACATGGATAGCATTCGTAGATCAAAAAGGAAAAAACAGAAGATTGAAGTAAGTACATATTAAAAATATAAAATGAAACTGCTCATTATTTTTGTATCAACTTTAAATAATTCCTTTTCTTTTTCTACAGACTGAGATTATGACGTCTTCAGGGAGACGTGTGAAAAGGAGAAATTTGGATGAGTGTGATGGAAATACTTTTGGAAGTAGCCGAAGTAGGAAGGGAAAAAGTGGCCAAAAGACATCAAGACGGAAATCTTCTAAATCAAAATCTTCCAGACCTCAAAGGGCTGCTGCACGCAATGCTTTGCATCTATTTTCCAAAATTACTGGTACCCCAACAGATGGAGAAGAAGATAGTTTGGTTGGTGATTTTTCAGATAGTGAATCAACATTGCAAGAGTCTAACATAGACAGTGATGAATCTGGTGAAACTTTACAGAATGACCAACTGAATTGTTCTAAGGGAAAAGAAATATCATATTGTGAATCCGAGGACACAAAATCTCACGAGTTAACTGGAACTCATGTGAATTCAATGAACAAGAGGAGATTGGTTCTCAAGTTACCAATTCGTGAAATATCCAAGCCTGCGAATGAGTTTGACTACCAGGCTGAGTTAGTTGGTTCATCATCAAAAACTGCACAAGAAGCTACTGATTTTATTATGAACAAACCAAGTTCTAAGGATTCAGGGTATTATTCTGGTAGCACAAGTTACCCTACAGTTGAAAGAACGGATCAGGTAATAGACCATGTTGACATGCTGGGGGAAATTAGATGGGGAATGGTTAGGGCTCGTTCATCTAAGCCTTTGAGAGTGGGAGAAACTGTTCCATCAGACGCCGAAACATGTCATCATGACGAAAAAGAAAATGTTGTTAGTACTGGGCATGAGAAAGAGGACAAGAACTTCAGTCCATTAACCCCTGATTTAGAAATCCAAAATGATGACAGTTTGATGGAGATTAATGAAATTTGTGATGGTACTACCTCGCAGCCTTTTAATCCTACTCAGAAAGCAGAAGAGATCACAGCTTCCAGCAATTGCAGGGACAATGATGAATCACTAATTTCTGCTTACATGATTCCTCAGGATACTGTTCCTGCTTCCATCAGCTATGGTAGGGTTGACCAACTACCTGAACCAAATATTGGGTTTCCTTCTGTTTCAACTAAACTAAGGTCTAAAAGGGGTTCAAGGGATCCTGAAAGTCCATCCAAGCATGAAACAAAATCTTCCATGCTAAAGAATAGTGCATGTAGCGGTGATGATAATAATAATTTCAACAATGAATATGTGGTTGTGGACGACAACACTAAAGTAACATGTAATCAGGGAGACAATGGAACTCAAGAAATAGAGCCTCGGATTAGACAAAATAGTACATCACATGATTTTCTAGAGCCACATTCACAGAGAGATAAAATGTATAAAGCTGTTTATAGAAGATCAAGATCACACAGGACTGTGACTAATTTAGCTGACAGTAGTGGCCCAGGAGAATCCACTTCAAATGGGAGCAACAGTACTCTTAATGCAGCAGCAGACTTCAATAATGGGACAAATGAGGCTATTCATACAAATGGACCCTTAGAGTTGGAACCAACCACTTGTGACCCAAATAATGAGAAGAATAATCTCAGAGTGCATGGAAATGGTTTGGTTAAAAGTCCACAAAATGTTTCCACAAGTGGAGAACAATTCACAGAAGAAGAAAGGGGTTCTAATTCAAAGTTGACCGTAGGTTTGAGGTCAACTAGGAGTCGGAGGTCTAGTTATAATATTCATGAGGCTAGTCCTGTAAATAAAAGGAAATCACTACAATCAGCTACCAAAGGATCATGGTTGCTGTTATCAACCCATGAGGAGGGATGCAGATATATTCCACAACAGGGAGATGAAGTTGTATATTTGAGACAGGTTAGAGATTACTACATAGTAACGATGATATTTTATGTGATGATATAACTTCTGCACGGGTGTGCTATTTTTCTTTTATTTTTAATTTCAAATTTTGAATAATGTGTTTTCCTATGAAAATATCTGCTTTTCAGGGGCACCAGGAGTATATAGATTATTGCCGTAGAAGAGAGTCAGGGCCTTGGGTATCACTTCAGGGACATATAAGAGCTGTAGAATATTGTAGAGTTCAAAGCCTTGAGTATTCCCATGTTCCAGGGTCTGGTGATAGCTGCTGCAAAATGACCCTTCAATTTGTAGATCCTAATTCAAGTGTAGTCAGCAAATCTTTTAAATTAACCCTACCTGAAGTGACTAGTTTCCCAGATTTTCTTGTTGAAAGAACTAGGTTTGATGCTGCTATGCAAAGAAATTGGACACGCAGGGACAAATGCAGGGTTTGGTGGAAGAATGAGGATAATTCCTCTGGTAATTGGTGGGATGGTCGAATTCTGTGCGTGAAAGCCAAGTCTTCTGAATTTCCAGGCAGTCCATGGGAGAGTTGTACTGTTCGGTACAAGAGTGACCTTACCGAAACACATTTGCATAGTCCCTGGGAGCTTTTTGATGCTGATACTGAATGGGAACAGCCTCACATTGATGATAACATGAGAAATAAACTGCAATCCGCTCTCGCCAAATTACAGCAGTCGGGCAATACAGTCCAGGTATCAGTCCAAAAAATTCCATTACATAGTGTTCTTTAGTTTATGTGCTAGTGAATGTAAATAATTAACTACTTTGTTATTGATATCCAGGATCGTTATGGAGTGCATGAATTGAGGAAAATCTCGAACAAGTCCAAATTTATGAACAGGTATTCCATCTAGCCTTTTTTATGCGATACTATAGTGTATGAAACTATGAATAACAGCATTTGGTTCAAAGGAGGGAAGGAGATGGGAGAGATTTTAATAGACTGGAGGTGAAGGGAAGGTTCCCTTGTTTGATTTGGTTCAAGAGAAGGGGAGAGGGGAAGGGTAAGAAAACGTTACCTTATTCGGTTTGCAAGAGAAGGGGTGAAAATATGGATAATATATCATTATAATTATAAATAACAATGGAGATCAGAGATAAAATAAGATTTTGAAGCAATTTAGTCTGTGCAGTTCAAAAATTACAAAACACTTTCCCAACTAATCCTCCCATTATAGGAGGCGAGACAAAAATAGGAAGGAGGGATTTTAGCTTCTTCGTTTTCCCCCTCCTTCCATCCAAATTTTTTAACCAAGCAGGGTAACATTAAAAAAAAAAAAAAAAAAATCACCCCCTCCCCCTCCCCTCCCACAATTTCCATCTGATCAAACATATTGTAAATATTTTTGCTAAATTTGCAGGTTTCCTGTTCCTATATCTCTTGAATTGATACAGTCAAGATTGGAGAACAACTACTACCGTAGTTTGGAGGCGGTGAAGCACGATGTGACAATTCTATTGTCTAATGCCAACGCATTTCTTGAAAAGGATGCAGAGATGTCGGCAAAAATCAAACGTTTATCAGAATGGTTCACACGGACATTATCATCATTATAGCTCTTGGCTTTCTGGGGCCACAGGCCAGCATTAAGGCAAAAGCAGCCCCTGCTGGTTATTTTCCCCCATATATTTTTTGTAGATAGATTTTTCAATTGTACTGCGGATTAGTTTTTTCTTGCTAAATTAGCTTCTGAGGATAGAAATAGGAATATCGGGATAAAGTAGCATTTTGCTGTGGAAAATTTCTGCGGCTACATTCATTGTTTGTACAGAGATACCACATTGATTGCAAATGCATAATTCACATTCAGAGTTTATGGTCTTGTCTTCTGGTTATGGTTTGGGGTAATTACTACCGATGCTTTACAAATTTTTTGATAATTAGAGTTTCTAAAATGAAACAATGATAATGAGCAGTCATCTATAAATGTTTAACTATGTACCCAAAAATAATATAAATGTTTAATCATCCTCATATAGTCAATTAGAATATCTTCGAATATTATGTTTAGATTTAAATAAGTTTTAGTGGCTTCTAATATATGCCTTTTCATTTCAGTCCTCTTAAAAATTGTTTTATTTGAGTCTGACGTTATTATTTCAATTCCTATAAAATTATTAAATTTTGATATAATTCTCTTTTATATTATAAAATTTTCATTTTAGTAATTTTTATATAGAAAGATATTCATGTTGCTCCTTTTAATTTAAAAAACATACTTGTTTTGTAATCAATTTGTCAATCATTTATGAAGAATTTTGATGTGATCATTCTTATATATATATATATATATAGGATAAAAAGGATGAAATTGAAAATAATCATATAATGATTAAAAAGTAATTCAAGTCTTATTCTTAAATAAATTGTTTGAAACATTATGGTGGATTTAGTGGAAGATGGCCGGAATAGTATATATGTGAACTTAAGTTTGATTTTTGTTGTCTTTTATAATCCTTTTTTACCGACAAAAAGAAATAAAATGTTTCTGGTTTCAATTGAACTGATTGTAATGACAACTGAATTGAGTTCAATAAATTCTTGGTGTTTTAAATGGAAGGTGGTAGAACTAGGAGGGAAGAAGATTTTGAGGGAGAGATTTTATTCATTTTGTTTATACGCTTATATGAACTAATTAACTAAACATATACTTACAACTGTAAATGGGTTCGTATTTGTATTTAAGAAATTGTTTTAATTATATGTACAATTTAGTGTTTGACCAAATAATTTTAGAAGCATGATTTTGACTTGAGACTACCTTGTTAGTTAAAATCTTCTCCAAAATAACTTAATTTTTAAGTTAGTAAGGGTGACATATTGGTGGATGGAAAATAATTTTGTAAATGGATCGGATTGGGTAAAAAAAAAATTAATCTATTTAAATTTATTAAAATTTCACTTAAAATTCAATTCATTCAATCAATTTAAGGAGAAAAAAGCCATCCGGTTCATTCATTAACGATACTTTTTGATGAATGAATATCTAATATATCCATAAAAATAATGTTTTAAATTTTTTAAAAAATATTTTTGAAATATTTTATTTCATTATTTTTTTTTATATTAATCATTATATTTTTATAGTCTTTTAAAATTTATAAAACTTTTTTTTAATATCAAAATAGTCTTTTAAAATCTCAATCTAATAAACATATCATATTATAATATAATAAATTTTAAAAAAATAATAAATAAATTACTAACTATTCATAAAATTAAATAAATAAAATTTACTTGTAGATAAATAAGATGAATAGTAGATAAATATATTCTTTTGTCATCTCTAATTATTAGCATTATAAGTTTATTTTTATCTCGAATTATAGGTTAACAAATCATAATTTGAGTTTTTCAAGAATTACACATTACTCTTTAATTCATTTAATCCTTATAATTGATGTTACTTTATGTATTAGTCCATTTTTTAAATTAAAAAAAAACATCACGTCAATAACTGAGTCGTCGAACAAATACAAACTTCACTGCTAGTCCATTTCCATCTTTGTGTAACAAACAACATACAGAAAGAAAATAGGGAAAATATATGGAATCATGTATTGTACTTTCATCTCTATCTCTATGGAACAATTTTATACCTTTTCTCACTCCAACACACAACAAACAATAAAGAGAAACATACATTAAATATATTTTGCCCGAGTAATTTCTACTAACTTTTTCTATATATATAACCTTAATATGTTTTAAAAACTAATATGTTATTTTATTTCTTGATTGACTTAATTTGAAATATTATAAAATTGATATTAAATTAGTTGAAATTAAAATTATTCATAAATTTTATATATTAGTAATGGATATTATTAAAATATATGACATGAAAGTTATATTAATCACATTTAAATTGTTTTACTTAGGAAACTATAATATAAATATAAGAGTTAATCACCTATACACTGCTAGTGTAAAGTGTTTTATACTGGTGTTAATAGTGTCTTTTTTATTTTAATTTAATTAAATGAGCAGATGAAAATGTATTATTAACGATTCTGATTGACGGTTAGTGTAAAAAAACTTTACACTGACAGTGTATAGGTGTTTAACTCTAAATATAAATACCCAAATCAAAAGAAATCATATAATTCAGGAGGTATAAAAATAAATTATTTCAATATAAATTTGTCAATATCCAAAAATCGAAACACTTCAATATAAAATTGTCAAGTTCTAAAAACAAAAAAAGTGTTTATTAGATTGTTCATCCAATGGGAGTTTTGAAAATTATAAATGTCATATATTAATGTAAACTAAGATGAAATGAGAGTAAAAGCAATCATGGTTATCCTTCTTCGCTCCAATTGGGATGTTAGTTCCTTCCTTGATGGTGTTGAAAGAAGTTCCAGTTTGTTAAATAAGATTAAATTGAAATATGTTACATCAAAATCTACTAAATTTATATGATTTTTATTTTTTTTAATAGAACGGTGTCACAAAATTTAGTGGATAATTCCTGTCAAATAAAAAAGTTAACTTGTAAATTATTATTTATATTCACATACAATAAATTTATATAAAAAATAAAAATAATTTAAAAAAATTAATTACTAAAATAGATGAAGAAATGTCCATCTCAATATAAGTAATACTCCTTTGTTGAAAAGAATTCTTATTTTATGTTCACATTATAAGTATAACTTTAAAAAACTAATAATAAAACATAAAAATTTGCAAATGATAATATAAAATAAAATTAAAAACACACATTTAAATCTTTGTTTTACAATATTGATTATAAAATAATAACAAATCAACCTGAAAGAAAAATAAAAATTTGACAATATTTTCAATTATTTCCTTGATGTAACTCTTGACATTGTAACATAAAGTTATCCATGAGAGGAAAAAAAATAATTAAGAAGATAGGTCTCAACATGTTTTAACGATTGACCTTGATTTTTAATACTAGTCATTACCAAAGATATTGAAAATGAAAATTGTCTATGTTAAAATTTGAGTGAGATCCTATTATCTGAATGTGTTAATATAATCTAGGAATATACATTTTCATTCCAACATTACTTCCTAATATAACATTTGCTTCAAGGACAAATTCCCCCAATTTTGTAATGATCAATCGATCGAGTACCATTGTACAAACCTTCTGATTGATTTATGTTTCTAAGTAACATAATGAGTACTCCAATTTAAGTCTTAAGATATGATTTGGCAATACAAAATCATTAATGGTGTTAAAAAATTATAGAGTGTGAACATTGTCTAGTCTATCAAAATCTCCACTAATAAATAACGGACCATCAACACATAAATACTCATTCTCATCTTCAGGTATTAAGGTCAATGTGTAATTATTTATTTGTTCAACCATGTCATTTCTTAGTTCTAATTTTGCCCTATATATCTTGAAATAATTTTAAAATATTAAAATTTTTCCTAAAAGATAGATATGTTGAGTTTACAATAGGTACAATGAAAAATTTTACAACCATGTCATATTTTATATAACATATTAATATCTTAATAAATAAAGAAACAAATAATTTGGTTTAATATGATTAATATGTTATTAAATTAATTTATGAGTCTAACTATTAGTAAATTATGAAAAATTGTTGGAATAAATAAATTTAAATAAAAAAATCGCTAATAATAAAATCAATGATTTTTTTTATAATTAATTATTTTTCAAAATAAATATGTGTTAATCTTATTAATATCTTAATATACAATAATAAAAATGAAATATTAATTTTCGATTATAATCAAATTTATGATGTGAAGAAAAAATGATATAACGTATATAAACTTATAATGTTTATGGTTAAATGATTTAAATTTATAATTAGTTGTGGTTACTTAATGTATGTTTTAATTTTTGTTATAGACTTTAATATGATAATTATTCAAGGAGAGTTTTAGTATTAGTGTATGGAAAAATCAACGTGTCTTGATATTTTTTATTTGAACAAATGTGTCTAAGATTGAGTGAAAAAATAAAATGAGAAACTATCCTAGATTTATTATTAATAAGATTAAGATTAAGATAAGATTAAAATTAGAATATGTATTAATTTTAATGAAATCAAAACATTAAAATCTTAATATCTTAATATACAATAATAGGAATGAAATATTAATTTTCGATTATAGTTCAATTTATAATGTGAGGGGAAAAAAACGATGCAACATGCATAAATTTATAATGTTTATAGTTAAATGATATAAATTTGTAATTGATCGTGATTACTTAACTTGATTTTTGTTAATGACTTAAATATGCTAATTATTTAGGAAGAATTTTAGAATAAGTGCAATAATTAATATGAAAAAATCAATGTGTTTTGATATTTTTTTATTTAAAAAAAATATGTCTATGATTGGGTGAATAAAAGAATGGAAAAGTATCTGGAAAAGGTTAAATGTCAACTGGTAAAAGATATTCTAACTATTTGGTTGATACTTAGAATATTTGTCTATAACACTATTATATATTATTATTATTATAAAAATATATCATTATATTTAAACTTAAACGTGCACTTAGTTCCTATAAAATAATTTTTTTATTTTGTTTCTCATAAAAATTTATTTACTTTTCATTGTTCTAAAATTTAAAATTATTATTTTTAGTCTTATTATTATATTAAAACTACTCCTTTTAAGAGACTGAAAATATATTTAATTATTATATTTATTTATAATAACAAAGATGTTTATAATAAATATATATTGTGTTTAAATTAAAAGATCCATTCAAGAGGTAACAAAGACCCATTCAAGATTTAATAATTTAATTTATTAACTTAATCAAAAAATATATACTTATTAAAAACATCTTTTTTACTATAAATAAATATATATATTTTTATAAATTAAAAAAAATTAATAGAATTTAGGCGAAAAAAGAATAAATATGATGATATATGACATTGTTGACATGACAAAATCTTCTTTATAATAAATAATATATAATGGTGATATAGAGAAATGTCCCAAGTTTTTTTTTAGAAGCCAAACAATTTTATTAATAGTAATAATAACCTGTAAAGCACAAGAGGTGGCTTCCGGTGAGAGTAAAAAAAAAAAATCAATTCAAAGAGTAAATTAAGTAAACTGCCTCTAATCACATAATTTGGAGCCCTAACGCTTATAAAAAAAATCAAAACATGAATTTCCCTCAATAGACACAAGATATGAGATTCATCACCCATTCTGCAAAAGTGTGATATTAACTGCACTACCCTCCTTCTTCCTTTGTTCTACACATTTTCTCCAAGTACCAACCAATAGTCAAAATATACTTTCCCAATCCACATTTAATACTTTCTAGTAGTCTATCTAATTCACTTATCCAACAAAGATTTGGACTTTCATCTGACTAAGTAATCAACAAAAATATAATTCATAAGAATATAAGATTATTTACTTACATTAGACTAAAAAATTTAGTTAGAATTAATAATAAATACAAAAGTTATAAATATTTATTTTTCTTATACGTAGATGTAAGTTGACGTAACGTAGTTTCAAATACACATTAAGTTATTTTTAACATATCTAACTACATATGAAATATCATAACACTACATTCAACTATTTGAATAAATAGATTTATTGACATGTAATCAAATAGCATTTGAATTAATATTCATACTATTGGTTACAATAACATTCTTATATATCTTATTGTAAAATCTTGATAATAAGATCATTTAAGATTCTTAAGAAAAAAATTCACATATAATTTGATAATTTAATTTATTAATTTAATCACAATATATACTTATTATAAACATCTTTATTATTATAAGAAAATATAATAATATAATTTTATTAATTAAAAATATAAAAAAGTAGGAGAAAAAAAATTAGTGATTCCAAGTGACATTTGTCAACGTGACAAAATCTTCTTGTAAATAGATTTATTAACATGTAATAAATTAGAATGTAAAGTAATTTTAATTATGTATACCTTAAAAAAGTAAAATTAATAATTATTTGTTAAAATAATATTATTGTAAGTTATGAAATCATGATCCATTAAAGATTATTTAAAATATATATATATATATATATATATATATATATATATTTAAGATTTAATAATTTAATCACAAATATATACTTATTATAAACTTATGTGTTACTATAAAGAAATACTATAATATATTTTGTAAATTAAATATGTACTTTTGAAGAAAGTATAAAAGATAGAATCAAGGTGTAATAGAAGCAAAATTAAGTGAGAAATTCTATCGTACCCCTTGAATTCGAAGGATTTTGAAACCGTCAAATTTGTTGGTTAATAATATTTCACTTTGTTTTATATGGATTTACAATTTAAAAATAAAATAATGTATAATTTAGTCCATGCATGAGTAGCAGATTTTTTAATTTAGCCTCTATACTTAAAAATTTATTAAATTAGTCTTTACATCAGTAAATAATATTAATTAGTCTTTGTATTTCCATGTTTAAATAACATCACAAATTATCCTATGTAGATTGTCCCTCGTAAATTCCTAAACGTGCTTAATATTGTTCTATGTGTTCTTCTCGAAAATAGTCATAGGTACAACAAGAGCAAACACGAGGGAGACATGATCTTGAAACTCCATAGACTTAACAAATGATTTTTTTTAAAAATAAAATAAAATAATGATAAAATGGAAATATTATCACACATATTCTCACATTATCTTATTCATTTCAAACATAAAATAACGTATACAATCTTAAAGATTACTTGGTGCACATCATATATTGAAAGTATAAACAAGTTTATCATTTATCATGTTATTATCTAACTCTTATTTAATATTCTATCTCCACCAATCAAACTTATATTAAATGTGAAATAAACTCTTAATGTTTTTTTTATTCAAGTGACATTGAAACACCAAATTGCACTATTGTGAGAATGATATATAAGATAAATCTTAGATGAGAAAACAGCTGTAACCTATATGTGAAGTTTATAATAAATACAAGCCTAAATCAAATTGGTGAGACGCCGCCAACCATCTACAACATGTTTTTTTTTCACCCAAGTCATGAAAATCTTATACTCTCAATCTTTCTTCCGGAAAACATAGATCGATAACACACAGAAAAAACATAATGCATCCCTTTGTGAGATTAACAACTAAAGTCACTCTTAATTCATAACTTAGGCATTCTTTTCCCAAGTATTAGATTAAACTATAGAATCCCCAACGTCTAGAGGTTATGGTGCTAGATCTCATTACTAACAAAACCTATGATCCTCATCCTCAGGCTCCAATAGTCCATGAACACACTTCCACATCCACTCGCTTGTCTTCATGCACAACAACATTGCACCACACCTAATAATCAATTTCCATGTCGGTTTATTATTATATATACAATATTTTATAAAAATGGCAACGGTACAATACAACTAAAATTTGGTTACACTTGATTGACAATTATAAATTAAAGTGTAAAGATCCTGACAAATTTAAAGACTAATCTGTATACTAACAATTTTAGGAGTCCAAATCTACAACGTTACTTTTAGGACTGATTTTATACAAAATCTCGGATGGCTTATATTCCTGTGTTAATCATTGTCACCCCTTGCCAAAAAGAAAAAGAATAATCCAATTCAACTTTGAATACACCTTTATATCAAATAGTATCACACGGCACAACAAAAAAGCCAGGCATTTTGATTCCTAACTGATAACTCTCCACCATGAAATTTAGGCCCATCCAGAAAATCAGTGTCACTCCTTGTTTTTTTCCTTACAATAAACCAAAAAACTCTAATCCAGAAAATTTATCAGCAGTGACCAATAATAGATTGTCCATCAACTATTCTAATCATTTGATCAAGAACTGCAGTTAAACAGGTAACACAACATCAGCATTATTGTCCTCGCATCTACATCGCTAGACTGGTAAAAAAAAAACTATCTCTCATCAACCATAGAATGGACAACAAAGCCCATTTTGTTTTAGCTTAAATTTTGAGAAATACTTTTTGGGGAAGTTGACAAATGACAAGAAAACAAAAACCAATTAACTTTTCCAAATAAGCTAAACCAAATATAAACAAAATATGTTAGATTTCCCCAATATTGAACCTTGATCTGAGGAAGCACAAGTTTTAGTCTCTCCACCGGAATCCACAGTTGGGGTTGCAGCAAACAAAAAAAAGTGTCATTCCTTCTTCCCCTCTGGCCGTTGCCTGAATACATAAAAAATTCAGATGTTCCATAAGTAATTAAATTAAGGTTTCTTAACATGCAGCCGGAAAATTTTCTGAAAATGCATTCAAAGGGGTTGTAAAGAAATGAGCATTATTTCTTCAATGCTATATTTCTATTTCAACGGGAAATACAACATTTCAGATTCAAAATGTTATACTGAATTTTATTTCATCTATACACATATCTGCATCATTTTTTTCTCCACAGATATGAGTGTTTTTTTGTGTTTAAAGTGTAGCACAGACATTTGCACCAAAATGAGGTCCCTCATTAAGGTGTGCCAAACTAGTCTTTAGTGTTCAATTAAGCAACCGATTTAGCATTTGAAGCATAAAAGAAAGAAATTTATAGAGGTTACCAGAACCTTAATATAGAATTGGAGGCCCTGTTTTCCAAATCATGAATTATAACATACACGATCAATAATTGAAAAAGAAACATTTAAAACATAAAAGACATTAGCATTTTTTTTTTTAAGTAAAACAAGTTAACAACTAAATACATGAGGATTTATATATCACTAAAACACTTCCTATTTAGCAAAAATAAAAATTCCACTTTGTTTCTTATTTGAGGAAAGACTGCAGAAGGACACAACAAATCATCACAGTACTACATTTCACCAATATTTTTTCCAGAAAAGACAAGGAAAAATTTATTCATTGCAAAAACTGCCTAGACTAGAACAATTAATACTACCATGATGCTAGAGCAGCAAGACAAACCATGCTGAATAAAGGTCAAACTTGTTCTGGCATAATTTTCATTCTTAACTTGAACTGCCAGACAGACATTCCAACTAATGAATGTCATTAAGCCAAGGTTCTCAAATTGTGTATAACCTATACAATGATCTCATGCTTCCTGTTATCTATGCCACAGTCTTGATACTTTTATAACCCCAAACAGATTCACACATGGATTTGATATCTTAAGCAGCGCAAAGCATAATATCTGCACACCTTTACACATTATCAAATAGTCAAGACTTAAACTTTTTTTTTTGTTGCTCTCCTTGTGCAATTCACTTCTTCCAAATTAAGAGGGTGAAGGTCAAAAGATCAGCACTAATATTAAACAGTGAAAAACTGTAGTATATCCACAAAATAATAAACTCAACTATCCTCAAATCTTCACAGCTCTACCTCCACATCATTCCATAAACACACGGAAGAAGTGAGTACCCATCCAATGTGGAGCTAAATCATGAAGCTTGCAATATGCCCTAACCTTGACAGGGCACATTGAACAACCTATCTTCCCTCTAAGCTCTTAATACCATGATAGCAAACTTCAAAAACAACAAAATTCCTCAGGTACATAATTAGAACAGAGACTTTACCTGGAAAAAGACAGCTTCACCATGATTACATTGAGTGCAGCGAACGGCCTTAGTTCGAGGAAGCGTTGGATCTGCAGCCACATCCTGCAACACTTGAGTGCGCTCTCCTACAGAGTGATGTATCTCGTTCCTATACACACAGAAGTTATCAGCAACCTCCTGAACAACAACAACAATAAACAACTAGTCAAACACATATCCCATCAACGTTGAGCATTTCAGAATTGCAAAGAGTCCTTCTCAACACCCTCTTCAAAAGAAAGACAACCACCAATTCGACCCATTATTGGGTACAGCTTAAATTCAGAAAATAATCCTTATTTTCTGCTAAAAATATAATTTTTTCTCCTGTCCCAAATAAACCAATGCAAACAAGCACTAGACACGGCAATAGCATGAAGGAAGTTTTATACTTGAAAACAAAATGTGGCTGCTTTCTTTGAATCAGTGATGTGGGGTGCTTGAAGGGTATACAAAAAGGGGTAAAAGAGAAGAACCTGATGGTCGCAGTTGCGGCATGCGTAGAGAAGAATCTTCTGATCTCTGTCTTCCTTAGGGTACAGAATGTTGTTGCTGAACCACAATCATTGAATCAACAAAAAAAAAAAAAAAAAAAAAAAA